TTGTGAGAGAATTGCGCCTATAGCATAATCTGATGCATCCGTTGTTAGAATGAATGGTTTTGCAAAGTCCGGGTATTGTAGAATGGGTTCGTTCATTAGAATATTTTTGCAGAGATTAAACGCGTCAATAAATGGTTTGTTGTGAATTATCTTAGTGTTTTTCTTAAGACAATGAGTTAATGGTTTCGTTATCTTTGCAAAGTTCTTAATAAATTTACGATAATATCCTACAAGTCCTAGAAAAGATTTAATTTATTTTTGAGTGTTGGGAACTTTGAAATTTTTGATGGTTTCAATTTTTCTTGGTTTCGATTTAATTCATTCGGGCGTTATAACATGTTCTAGGAATTCAACTGTTTTTCGCATCAATTCCGATTTGTCTAGTTGTATCTTCATGTTGAAAGAAATTAGTCTTTCAAAAACTTGTTTTAAGGAACTTAAGTGTTCTTGTAGACTGGTTGAGTAGATGATGATATCGTCCATGTAGACAAGACCATTTTTTCCTTGAAGTCCTCTGAGTACATTATCCATTGTTCTTTGGAATGTGGATGGTGCGTTCTTTAGTCCAAATGGCAATCTTGTAAATTAATAATGTCCATTTTCTACGTTAAAGGCAGTTTTGGAGATACTTTTTGGATCCATTTCGATTTGATGAAATTCGTTGGCGAGGTCAAGTGTGGTGAAGTATTGACAACGTCCTAATTTATCAAGTATATCTGATATGTTTGGTAATGGATATCTATCGTCGACTGTTTTTTCATTTAGTTTTCTATAGTCGATTACCAATCTCCATTTTTGTTGCTGTGATGCGTCTAGCTTTTTCGGAACTATCCAGACTGGTAAACCACAGGGTGAATTGGAAGGTCGAATGATGTTCGATTGCAACATTTCCGAAATTTGTCTATTTACTTCATTTTTATGCACATACGGGTATATATAGCTTTTCGTGTGGACTGGAATTTCGTCGGAAGTATTGATGACATGTTTTACATCATTTGTAAATGTTAGAGGGTCTCCTGGTTTATGAAGAATTTCTTTGTAGTTTTCGATCAATTGGAATAACTGCGTTTTTTCTTCTGAATTTAAGTGATCATGTCTAATTAATTGATTTAAATTGACGTGACAACTTGAACTTTTTGTGTTATTAAAGAATTTTCTCGTTGGCAAATGTTCATTGCTTTCGAAATCGTATATTTCGTAGTTATTTAGTTCGATTGACTCTGGACAAAGGGTGTTATCATTTATATCGCATTCAATTAGAATATTTCGATTAGAATGATTATGACGTCAACCATATAACTGTTGTTAGTTATGGTTACTAGAGTTTCTTGAATTTATAGACTTTTGTCTCTGTAATGCGGAATTATCCAGGTAGTATTGTTTGGCAAATTTGTTTTGAAAATTGCGTTTTTGGTGCTTCTTGGTGGAAACTCGATTTTGTATTTATCAAAATCATTTCTGTAGTGGAAAGGGATTTCAAGATATTGAGTGCCTATTACTTGATTGGTTAAATCAATATTTATGTTTAATTTACATAGATCTTTTATGCCTAAAATGCGGTCAAAGTATTTATGAAAGGGAAAGAGTATGAACTCAATGGGTTCAGATATTCCGTAGCATAGAAATAAAGGAATTGTTGCTTTATTCGTAGCTTTCTTAGAACCGGCACAAGTTTGAAGGGTGCTTATGTGAGGCTTTATTGAATTTGGGAAAAGAGATTCAGCCAATGATGGTCTGAGAAGAGATGCGTGTGAACCAGT